GCCATAGCGGTAGGGGAATAGTGAGGGGAGTCGATAAGGGACGGTCGGTTACATGGTGATGAGGTTTTGGTGGAACCACGGGAGGGGAGAAAGAGCGCGGAAAAGAACATGCAGTTAAGCGACAATGTCAGGCATGAAGCTTGCACACAAAGCCGGCTTCCCCTTGTCTGATAGCGGTCGTTTCTGCTGTTGCCAGCAGAAGCTTACGCAGGGATATTGGGTGGTGTCATATGACCTCATAAATCACCCAGAAGGTGTAGACGGGGTCTACCCAATATCCGAAATCAACAATGTGGGCGAGAATAGCGCTGTTTATGTTCCCGACTTAACCTATTGTCAGCTATGTGGGGAGGTGTTCCCTTACACTTTTGGGTAGGCGCCGGCTCGTAATACCTATATAACCCGCTCCACAGGATCAAGTTAATGCGTAATTGCACATTGAGATGGTCTGAGCTGGCAACTTTTCCATATCTTTCCCGTCTAAGACCGGCTTGGTTGAGAATAATACCTGAAGTCTCGCTGCTGGGAAGGTTCGTGACCCGGCTTGACCGAGGTCTCTTCTTAGGAGTTTACTTGCCGCACCTCTTGAAAAGATCCTTTGGGAATATCGTTTTCTTTTACACCATAGGTACGGTGGGTTTTATCTGTCTCGCAACCGTATTCTTTGTAAGGAATCTCTCGGGATATCCGTTCTCGCAAAGCAAGTCCTGGATTTTCTTACGCTCCTCCTTCTCCTCCTCCGCGCACTCTCTCCCCGCCCCCTGGACCGGTTCCACCAGATCGTCACCACCACGTAACCAGCCATCCCTTATTGCCCCCCCCCACCCAATTCCCATGACTCACTTGGATGAAATGCCTGACATTAATTAGCACATGTCTTAACTTTGATCCCGTTCCCATGTTAATGCAATGGCCCGATTAGGCTTTATTGAAAGCTTACGTATGCTCAGAAATTGTTCGATCGCGTAGTGTTAAGGCTAGTAGAGTTAAACCTAGCTGCTTTGATCTTCCAGGCCCAGTTCCTTGGGAAATGAGAGAAGTCATGCGAAGGCCAGAGTAGGAAGAGTTTATTCTGTAGAAGGATTGGTGAATAGGTTGTAAAAGATTTGACTGTCGGAGCACACATCCTTCCGCTAGAGCGGCGTGCCTCGAAGTGATGTCTAAGGGGTAGGCATCGCATTGTCGTCTGAGTCCACACGGATTGATGCCAACCTACTAAATGAGGCCAGTGTACTAACGCGGGAATCTCATTGGATGGATTGAGGTCACGCCACGCTGGATGGAGGTCAGGGCGTGGTAGGTGAGGTGCGCACGTTTGTGCCTGGTCCGAGAGACGCAATATCAGCAGCAGTGGGGCGCGATGAATCAGCATGCGGCGGACATTCATGTGTGGCTGATCGTGGGTTTCAAGCAGATTTAGGGTGGACTACAGCTCTTCTGAGTTCTATGACGACATTGTCTCAATTCTAAATTAAAATATATTTAATAGAATACATTCATAAAATTATTCCTTCTCGGGCTCGTTTGGCGGCAAATTATGCCTTCTTCAAATGTCATACTTGCAGAATAGTATTGAGCGCTCAGCAGTGAACAAATGCATCCTAATTAAGTAGCTTGCATTTTTTCACTGACTTGCAATGCGCTTATAAATCCACACGTACATATTATGTACAAAATTTGCACAAAATACTCAATTTTATTTGTCTGGCAGCTATTTACGCTTTTTCAAAGGTTTATACTTGAAAAGAATGGTATCTTGCGGTTTTAAAGGTTTCTAATTATGCGACTTTTACGACTGTTAAATGTTAATACACAATACGTCATCTCCATCAATTGAGTAATACTGCCTATAAAGTATGCAACAGTATCCACATCTATTTCAAAATTTTATGAGAACTAGACGACCTATTACTTATACCGTAAGGAAATATATAATTTTGCTTAGACAGAATGTATACAGCATGTCATATGGAAACCTTAAATCCAAGTGTAACGGCCGGTCGGGTTCAACACTATTCCACAAGTGTGACGTTTGAAGAAGGCGTAAGTTGCCGCCTAACGAGCTCGAGAAGGAATAATTTGATGTATGCATATATTCTATAAGATATATCTGAATTTAGAATTGCAAAAATTATCATCAGAGTAGTCAGAAGAGCAACTGCCGAGCATACGTAAGCTTTCGATAAAGTCTCATCGGGCCATTGCCTTTATATGGGAACGGGATCAAAGGTAAGATATGTTGTTAGTTCCAGCTGAAAAAGTTTGAAATTCTCCACGTCCTTTCTCTAGCGAAACTCCTTTTCGACCTACATATGCTTGTTTCCCTCTTACGAAAGTGTTTCCCCTTCCTCTCAACCGCGTGTCCGTGCCCCCCTCCTCCAAAGATACTGTCACCATACTCTGTTCGTCTTTTGTTTCCAGTCGAAGGCCCACTGGTGCTAAAACTAGCCCCCCGGCCAAGTGGTACTTGAATACTGCCCCCACATTCGGCTTCCTTGCCTTCTAATCACCTTTTCCCACAATGCTTCCGC